ATACATATATATATATATATATATAACACATATATATACACTGGGAACAACTCCTAAAGCATACCCTGTTTTATCGTCACTCGTCTGGACATTTGTAGTTTTAAGTAGAGTTAAAAAGCCATTTTTTTACGAGACTTTTCCCTTTTCTGTTTTAAAGAAATTTAATCAGAACTGTACTTGATCTTTTCAAAAGTTTGAACATGTCAGTGGAAATATTCACCCTGATAGACAGTGTTTTTGATTCATGGAGCACATGTCCTCTCTGTCTTTTACGTTACTAATTCAGACAAACAGAAGTATCCGCCCATAGAAGAGCTTAACACACACACACACACACACACACACACACACACACACACACACACAAACTGATCATTACGCTCCTTCCTTGTCACAGACACTTAGAGAAACACAAAGAAGAAGGAGACCTGAACCAAAATCCTGAGATGATTTTGCCGCCTGTCGCCACCACTAAGGTGTGTGTATGTTATATCGTGTGTGTGTGTGTGTGTGTGTGTGTGTGTATGTGTGTGTGTAAGTAGAGACCACATGCAAAGGTTTCCACGGGCGACATCCAGAGGTTCTTGAGGGGGGTCCCCGAGCTGTGATCGCTTTTCCAGTGCTGTCATCACAAAGATGCACTTATGCTCAAACAGCACTCTTTCAATCAATCAATCAATCTTTATTTGTGTAGCACCTCTCAGACAGGCCAGTGCAGGTCAAGGTGCTGCACAGATGACTGACAAGCCGAAAACAAGATCCCACTGTGAAAACAACAGAAAGGACAAAAGCAAATCGGCTATTTAACAATTTGAGACAAATGCACGCAGGAAAATAAAAAGATAAACATTTTATAAAATATAAGCTGAGATATAATATCAGCTGAAATAACAGTAATAGCAGTAAAACATACAATTATACAACTTAAATACATTGAAATAAGTGGTAAATAAAATAGAATAAAAATGTCAAAACACAGTGATGGAGGCTCAGACACAAAAAACAATTCAACCATTTTGTTCCTAGTGTAAATGCACGCAGCGATGCATCACATCAACACCACACAACCCTTTGCTGAGGATCCACACACATCAGCCTCCTCTTCCTCCTCCTTCATGCAAAAATGTGTAAAATCTGTCATCACTTTTACACCTTATTCTCACTGTTTTGCTGAAGCAGAAACATATTGCGCTGCAAAGAATGTCATCCAAGCAGAGACTAAATATGTTCACGGGGGTATCTTTTTTTTTTTTTAATAAAGCAGCCGACCAAATAAGCTTACAGCACTTTAAACTTTCTCATGTGGTCCATTTTATGACCTCTCGCTGTTTTATAAGAATCTCGTGAAATCCATCAAAACACACTGAGGGCGAGGAAGTCCCACTCCCTCATAATCGTAAAAAAATTCATCACTTCTTTTTTTCTGGGGACCCACTTTTTAAAACCACGACAACCAATTCACAAGGTTCCTTATCTACAAATCGTGAGAAGAGTGAATCTGTAAGTAAATGAATGTTTCTGACCATTTTTATTTCCATTTCCACATCACTTCATATTATGTTCAATAGGTAAACCAGACATTTTGAAGAGCTAGTTGTTTGATAAATCAAAACTTAATTTTATACATGTGTTATTCAAAACATATACGCATGTTAAATACTTTATAAACGAGACCAAGAGTCACCAGGCTCTTGTTTTTTCTTCTAGCCTTTCATATTCCATTGAACCGTATAAGTCGGCTCCAGTTATAAGAGCAACACGAACATTCAGGCTCTCTCATGGGGTTCAAAGCTTAACTGCAGATATAAAAGACAATTAAAGAATTTCAATGGAAGAAATTGTTCAAAATGATTTGCCGACCCTAAGAAAATATCCTGCCACTAACGTGTTGGACGTCTTTGGGAATAACTGATATGTGATTTAAAAACAAGACGTTTTTTCTGTATTTTGTTGAACAGATTTCATCTTCCTGCTGGAGAATAAATAACCAAAATCCAAGGTCCACTACATGGCCACTATATGTGGACACCCAAACTGTATGTGATTGTTCAACAAACCAATCCAAAGCCTGCACGGGCGCTTATGTGCAGCTTGAACAGTCTCCAATTTTGGACCGTGGCTGCAGGGATTTGCTCCCATTCCGCTACAAGAGCATCAGTGAGGCTGACGTTGAGCAATAAGGACTGGCTCACTATCAACTTCAACGGGGTTGAGGTCTCTGTGCAGGCCTGTCAAGTTGTCCCAAACCAGACTGTTGAAACAGGAAAGGAATCTTCTCAATCTGTTGCCACACAGGTAGACGCACTAAAACATCATTGTATCTGATAACGGGACCTAAGAGGCCTGAAGCCCAATCTACAAGAAGGACAGACGTGTCTACTTATGGATTTTTTTATCATCATAAGCACACAAAGCTTCATATCTGCATGAAAAAAAACAAGTGTAGTCAGACAACCAAATGCACAAATCAACCATGTTCCCTTATAACTTGACCCCGCCGAATGTTGACAAAAAGAGCCATAGTTTCATCTACCAGATATTTCCCTCACGAGATGGTTGAGACCAAAAGCAGAGCTAAAAGAGGAGGGACCATTGGCCTTACATGTACCAGGTGGACACCAACGATGAGTATTAATGTTGCTACCACATGTTCTACATTATAAGATGTCAACTTGTTGGTCACGCCACCTCCCCAAGTGGAAAATAAAACAATGAATTCAAGTGTAATGTCATGCCAGGAAGAAGGAAACAAGAGACAGCTATAAGTACTGAACAAGAAGAGGAACTTTACTTGAGTTGACTTGAAGACACCATGAAATCTGCGAGTTGTGTGTGAAAGAAAGCTGGTAAAAGGGACGAATATAAATAGTGTGCAGTGTATCGAATCCTGAACACAATGTCCTGTTACACCTTAAAGGAAGAGAACATAAAGGCGTGCGACACAACAATACCAACAGGTTGAGTGTATGCTAATGTCGCCTACTATTTTAACACGGATTGAACAGATAGGAGCTGTGAATGGTTGAATTTCATTATGTCAGAACAGAGTCGAGCCTCACTCTGAACTCCCTAAACTGTTTAAAAGTCTTGTGTGAATAAAATGTGAGGGCCCACTGTGTTATGTAAATGAACCACCTCAAAGGTATATTTACAGTCTGCTCCGCAACCGCAGTCTCCCGCGTTATAAATGTACCTTATTGAGACGACTTAAGGGCACATTTTTAGCCCAAAGATAAACACGCTCCAAAGTTATGCGGAGACATGATTGATTCAGACGCACAGCGGCGCGGCGATGGAACGTTTTATCGTGGTTTTTTTTGTAAGGAATCAACAAACACTTTCACACATAACAACGGAACAGATGTTGCCTTTGGAGAGGAGAAGATTACACCGTTTTCACGCCAAAAGATATAAAACAAACAACAACTATGAGCTAAAAGTCAATTTCCCTGCTCTTTTCTTCTTTCATTGTATTATTCCTCTCTTTTCTCCTTCGCTGTGCTGTGAATGGATGTTTCAACTGCAACCGAGAGAAACTGTTTGCATGTGTGTGTGTGTGTGTTTGACCTCGTCACTGTGGTTCTGTTGCAGTAGATTACCAGCTGTTTTTAATAGTTTTCCCCCCAAATCTGTCTTTTTCTGCATACTCATTCCTCACCTGTGGCCTTTACAGGTAGGATGATACAAGATGGCTGTACCGCTCAGGTTTTTGGTCCAAAAACCTTGATGTTATAAGAGCCCACTTGAAATGTTCCACGTGAACATCTATAAGTTACATGCAGACGACAAAAATATTCTTTTTTTCTGTCTTGAAATCTCAAAAATGAAAAATAATGTATTTTGTTCTCCACTAAGGGCGACCAGGAATTCTTTACTCTGATGAAACATTTAATTACAAAAACAGTATACGGTTGGGAAACAAACACACTAAGAAGACTGCTAATCTTGTTAACATCCATAGTTTTTCTTTGTACTTCAGCATCACAACCTCTACATTCCTGTAATAAATATGCCAATTTCCTCTTGTTGCCTTTCATAAATGTGTCATAAGTGTGTTATTTTGAGAAATAAAAGGGTGTAAGTTAGGCTTGAGGAGCATAGAGGTGTCGTACACTGTGCAAATTGTAAATTCCTTTGAAGCAAATCTATGATTTATAATTTAAATTGTCGAATCTTTCCTCACTGTTTTTGCAGAGTTGCATTTCTTTGTTGTGCAGAAAAAAAAATCCTCTGCAGCAGAAAAAGTAAAATGTGATTTAAAGTTTGTTACAGACTGTTAACAATCAGAGTGTGCTTTCACCCCTGACAAAAGATCAAGAAATATATGACAACGTGTGTATTATGCAATAGTTTCAGTGGAGAAGTGAATTAAACTGAACTGTTATTGGTCGTTTGTCTGAAACTTTGTTAAATGTGCTGCTGCTGCCACGAGACCCTTGAAAATTATTTTTTACTATTATTTTAATTAATTTTCCTAATTACATACATTTTAAATTAATTAAGCCAAAAAAATAGCTTGTGTTGCCTTTCTGCATTCGTGAGAAAAATCCAAAGCTGAAAAACGCAACTTCCTTTAAAATTATACATATATAATTAATACATCTTTCATGTTGTGTCTGGGTCGGATCGTGTGTATTTATCAGCTCTAAAGACCAAAAGACATAAAAGGGATTCATGCTCCGCGTGAGCTCCAGTGACATGGAAAGTCTCATGCTGCCTCCTGGTGTCTTTAAACTGAAAATGCATCATCACTGCTGCAGTTTAATCAGTTTTAAAAGACCAACAATAAATCCTGCTTGGGCCAAATATGATCACAATATTACAGTGCCTGAATAAAACCACTAAAACACATAGGCACTAACTCAAACTCCAACACATTCAAGACAGTAATATAAAAGGTAAATTAAGGTGGTTTAGCATTAATTACATTCACCATTAAAATGATGTATCTATTTCCATACGAGTGAATATCATAATATCAGAGAACCATGACCCATAAATAACGTCATCTTTTTATTAAAATTCTAGTTGATGTATGACAGAAATGTGTTTAAAATCCTGTTATAAGTTTCGACTTTATACAATACATACAACCGAGATGAAGGGAAATAAATGGGGACACAAACATTAACATATGTACAATGTTAGATTATGCAAAACACCAAACAGTTGTGTTGTAATTGAGCAATTTGGTCACGACACAGAAATTAAAAGTTGGCTTTAGTGCCTCTCCAAAAATGACTGATAAGCAAAAGATTATGACACAAAATAAACCGTTAATTCAGATTTTAAAACATCCAGATCCAATATGGACCAGTTCTTGTATTTCTACGACTCAGAATCATCCAGTCAACTGATTTCAGTTTAAATTGGTTAAACCTGTGAGTCACATGATACCAAACCAGACGCATACTGTTCCTCTAGTCAATTATAGAAACTACACAAGTACAGCAGAACATGAAAGTAAAACAAAGCACGACATCCAGTGACTTTCTTGCAGCCGTGTTTGAGCATCAGGTCTGCGTTAACTCATAAATGTATTATTAAAAAAAAAACAACATTCATTTTTAAATGTCGAAGCAAATCTAAGCTCAAAGGGAAACTTTATGATTCAGAGCTTTTCCACTTGATTCCTGGAGGATCACTGTCGCTTAATGAAAACCTGAATGTGCAGCTGGAATCTGTAAATGATTAGTAAGTAAACCTTCACGACCGACTGCTGTCAAAAGTCAAGAAATGCTGCGAGTGCGTTTGGTTCTGTGGTTTCCAGCCCATTAAAACAAAGCTATCAAATTATGAGTACATTTTGTTTCCATCTTTGGCATATACACACTTAGAAATAAAAAGGTGCTAAATAGAACCATATAGGGTTCTTCGGTTTGGTCCCCAGGAGAACCCTTGAAGCCCCGATGACAGCTTCTAAAGAGAACCCTTCTATGGTGTAATGGTCCACCTAGAAACTTCCCATCCTCTAAAGGCCTGTACACACCGGGGCGTTTCTTTCGTGCGCCTAATTTGCACATCAATATACTTTTGTTTTTGTCATGAAAACTTTCACACAAAACGGGAATATTACGCAACAAAAAGCAACATAATTTTTTTGCCGGAATGAGGCCGACGTTTCTAAACTTTCGGACCGTGATCAAAGACATCAACCCATCACTTTGTGTGGAAGGTGTTGATTTGCACTAATATCTATAAAAACCTTTCAGAGTAAAAGCCCATGACATAACATTCAGCATTTTCGTGTTGTAAATTCGTTATACCCCCGGTGTATAAAGGCCTTATGTGTGCTTACAACCTACCCAGGAAGACCTACCAATAACCCTCTTATATTCCCTTTTACTCCATAGATCTTTCTCCAACCTAACCAGGTTAGCATGGGAACACGGTCCAGCAGCCTTGGGCCTCAAGAGCCTCCCAAAGGGCTGGAGGTGGTGCCGTTCAACCCACAACAATCATGGTTCAGTCAGGGGTGTTGGCTCTGCTTTCAATAATACATGAAGAAAACTTTCTCCCAAAAACAGTTCTTTGAATGGAAAGGGTTTTTAATGGAACCCATAGCCCTTCGGGGAGAGCCCTTTTGGAACCCTTGTTTCTGAGAGTGTTCCTACAAGCTGTGACAAAGTTCAACTAAAGACTAGAAATAGAAATATGTTTTCTCTATTTTTTGTTTTCCTGAGAACTCCTGAACCTCCGGTTGGAAACCGTTGGTCTAGAAGATCAGAGTCGAGCTCTGAGTAAACGAGATTTTAGCGAGACCTTAAATGTAGTTCAACGTGTAATGAAAGCGACCCTGACGTTAGTCTTGTAGCGTGGACCCAAACATGAGCAGAGAGCAAGAAACAGCTGTCTGACCTCGCTTCTTTAAATCGTATTAGCATCTGAAGTGTTACTGTATACAACCAACATTCCACTAAGTTGCACATGTAAGCAGATAGAGGAATAAAATGTGTGTGTGTGTGTGTGTGTGTGTGTGTGTGTGCACGCGTTTCAGAGCATTAAGTAGACAGATTAAGACTAGAAGGGTATTAAAACTAACAACTGGAGCACTGAACCCAATCACATCACGGCTGGTGAGTCATTAACCCCTCAACGTTATTTGTGTGTGTGTGCATGAGCTTGCATGCATGTGTGTGTGTGTGTGTGTGTCACTGGCAGGCAGGAGTAACGTCAGATCTTGAGTGATGCAGTCGACAGAGGGAAGGGCATTTTTCTAAAAGCGCTTAAAATGACAGATCACACACACACACACACACACACACACACACACACACACACACACACACACACACACACACACACACACACACACACACACACACACACCATCAATGTTATCCCATGAATCACAGGCGTAAACTGACATTAAGACTACAACAAGAGCAGTAGGGAAAAAAACGATCAAAGAGAGGAGCAGCGCTGTGTTTTGAGGAGCATCATCCCTCCTTCTTGTTCCCCCAACCGAACAGTTTGGACATCGGAGACTTCTTCTTTTGTTTGTCTTTCTTCACGTCTGAGAGAGGAGAGAGGAGGGCGGTCAAAAGATGACACGGAGGTAAATGAAAACTCAATCAATCAACTCAGAAAAAGAAATTACATTTTTAAAGAAATCGGAAAATCTGATTTTTGTTGTTTTGCAGCACAAACAACAACTTAAGCAAACTACTACAAACGTGTGTGATTTATGGTTTGATGGGAAATTCTGCAAGAAAGCGGCCAAAAAAGAAAAACAAAATAATGCATCTTTAAAAATGGGCGACAACCTCACTGCAGAAGCACGAGACATTGATGCTCAGTACAACAAGACAAGATTTCCTAATATATTATTATTTCTTTGCACTATTTGTGTTACAATCTACACATTTTGACTTTCCATTGCAACCAATGTATGTTGTTGGTCGTTGCTGCTTTTCATTATATATTTATATACCTATTTTGTCACCTACTTGTATGTTCCATATCTATTTTTCCATATCTTTATTAAGCTTTGTTACTTCTGCCAAGAAGTTTATGTTTTAGTTTGTGTGGTTGGTTTGTCTGTTGATTAGCTTGTCTGTTTGTCAGCAGGATTACGGAAAATCTACCGGCCTGATTTTCATGAAACTTGGTGGAAGGCTGTAGCATGAGCCAAAGAAAAACCCATTACATTTTGGAGCTGATCCGCCTCACGGGAAGGATACACGGATCATTTTTCAATTACGGATACGGCCTTGGTGGAGGTCTGCGCTCGCTGAGTGCAATCTTTATTTTTAGCTCTTTTTCCAAGTCTTATCTCTAATTTCATTGGAGTCAAATTCCTTGTACGTGAACACATAACTTGGCCAATAAGGCGGATTCTGATATATTAAAATAACATATTTTTATATTAGCGCATGTCTTATTGTGCCGATACCACAGCCACAAGAAAAAAAGAGAAGCTGTGTCCACAAGTTGTGTTTAAAGTGTGTTTCTAGTCTAGTTTAACTTAAAATCTAGTTGTTGTTTCACTAGTGAGGGTTCACACAACAGAAGCACTTTTACCATGGTTAAGAGCAATGTAACGTCATTTAACCCCTGTTTGAGGTTTCCTGATACACCTGAAAACACCTGCCAGGAAAGAAAAGAGTGGTATAAAGTAGCATTTCTCTTATGAGATACAACATGTGTGTAAACGACCACATGACTACACTCTGAGTGGGAATGAACTGTGAAACTTTGGCATTAACTTTACGAATACATTAAAATAAAATGGCTAGTCTTTAGCCCACGGTCGGCATTCACTCGCTGCAACATAACGACCTTTCACTGAAGTTCAATAAATCTCCTCAATTTTCAGCCCGGCTTTCCCAGTCATGAATTGCAAATGAAGCCGGCTTTAACTCTATTCTATCAGAGGGTCAAATTAACCAGCTACATTATCCATTTGTCTAATAGGAAACACCGCTGACAAAGAGAGGGGGAGCATTTTGTTTGATGCTTTTTCCATTAGCAGTCATTAGATCAAATGAGATGAAAACATCACCCAGTGGCACCCTTAAACATGCAGCACACACACACACACACACACACACTTCCATAAACCACAATGAGATTCCTATCTACTTCAATTAGAGGCGTCCATGATGGAAATCATCAATTGGATAATTTATAAGCAAACTAAGTTGCAGCGACATCGAGGTTGTGATAACTAATGAACAGAGCGGAAGGGGGGGGGGGGGGGGTCAGACCGACGGCCTGTGGAGGTGTTAGAGACACTCACTGAAATTCATCATCAGCTTGTTGAGCTCCACGTCCTCCTCTTCCTCCCTGAGAAAACGCACAAAAGCAAACACAGATCAACAGCAGTTCCTACCTGTGTGAGCTTATACTGCATTTATACACGTGTGTGATCTGTGAGTACTCGGGCAGTGAGACATTTTGTCGTTTTCGCACTGTACTCGAGGAAATTGGATTTGAAATCAAACAAAGACCATGAGATAATTCATTATTGAGTCATATTTTTCTTTGGTCTATTACTTATCATTTATTATAAAGTGTCAGAATAAAATGAAAACACGCCTGTCACAATTTCCCCAAGCCGAAAGCGACGTCTTTAAACTAACTGCTTGTTTTGTTCGACGAATAGTAAAAAAAAATAGATATATTTTCAATGTACAGCGATGTAAAAAGAGAGAAAAATCACAATTCCCCACATTTGAGAAGTTTTAAAGAGTGAGTATTTGGCATTTTTGCTCAACACATAACTTTAAGGAATGTATACATTTGGAACTAATCAACAAAATAGTATTTATAGCATTACTGTGAGGTTGAAGTGCTGCTGATGCTCAGCTATATTTTTAAGGGTTTTACACATACTCCACATACTTCCCATCAGCTGAAAAGTAACACCGAGGTGTTTTATCTCTCAAGTTTTTCTTCAAAAGGCAGAGTTTCACATGTGTGCTGTAGAGGATAATCCACATTGTTCATGGTGAGCACAAGTATCGTCTTTAATAGAAATACTTGCTTCTGACAATAACAGTTTTTGGCAAATAGCCAATCAAATTACAGCGAGGCAACAGGCACCAAGTTTGTGCCGTCAGCTTTCTATGCCAAAAGTTTCGAGGATGCGCTTTGTTGTTTTCCAAAACTCGGGGTACTTGACATTGTGAGCGTGGGGCAGTCTGCACATAGCGGATATTCAAGCCAAGACCTTAAATTGTAGAATTTAAATTTCCCCAAATGACCCTCCGCTGTATATGCATACACACCTGAGTCTATCGTCATCCAGACCCTCTATAATAGCGTTTCTGTCGTTGACAATGTCCACCAGTTTGGCCATCAGCTGCTCTTCCCTCTTGCGGTCCGAGTTTGTTTTCAGATGTTCTGCTCAAACACAGACACATTTTAGTCTCAGATGTTTGATCTCTTTCATGTCATTGTGCCGAGTGTGTTTCCTTGAAACTCTCACCTGGTTTGTCCATCAGTCTCCTGAGCTCCTGCTCAACAGTGGGCTGCTCTTCCTCCAGGTCCTGGGTTTTCCCACTAGAAGTAAAAACAATGTAAATCTGTATTAAAATAGTTTATCGCCTACGATTGCATTTCTCGAGTCTGGAGTCTAACCCTAACAAAAAAATGAAACACTATGAGAGACAGGTGATACTTCTCTGTAGGTTTGTCAACACAAGCGACCCCTATCAGATTACACGTGGTCATTAGATCCATTGTTAAAATATTGATTAGAGCAGCTTTAAATGGCCATATCATAAGGTCATATGCTCAGTGTCCCCCAAGTTATTTTCCAAAAAAACGCATGATTTCTTACACTGTGTGTATTTGAATGCAAATCTGTATTAAAAAGATAATTTTTTGTTATAATTTGCTGTTAAAATGCCTTGGTAGAGGTAGAGGTTTAACATTAATCAATGTAAGGAATATTTGCAGTGCATGTGTGCTGTTAAGCAGCATCCTGCTTCACACTGCAGCCAGTGGGAGGGGGGGGGGAGCTGTCTTGTTCCAGGACGCCCTGCTGAGAGACGGAGGAGGGAGGACACTGGGAATTCACACTGTCAACCTTCTGGCCACAAGTCTGTTTCACTAATCGCTAAATAGTGGCATGCCCCTTTTCTAAGTGTGTGTGTGTGTGTGTGTGTGTGTGTGTGTGTGTGTGTGTTTACTCACACGTAGACCAGTTCAGACTCCCGGCGCATTGCCACCTGCTTGTTCCTGATCAAGTTGAACCACTCAACCATGAACTCATCCATGAGAGAGTCATCTTCACCCTCTGACGCACAAAAACACACGCATGCAGTTAATCCCAGAATACATTCATTCCTCTGAATCTTTTTTTCCACTCCTGATTCATGAGGAGGTTCACACAGTACGAGTGTGTTTATCTCACCTTCTTCACTGCTGCGGAGCTTCACCTCCAGCTCCACTCCCCTCTTCTCCCACTCGTTCAAGCTATCTTCAATCTCCTGCAGTTCCCTTATGATGTCTTCTTTGAGAATGTAGTCTGGTTTCATCTACAGATGTAACAC